CAGACAGCTAAGAACCTTCCTGGGTTCTGAATAAATCTCAAAGAATTAAAAAAAAAAAAAGCAAAGTAGCCCAAATTTAATTAGATCAGATTGGGGAACAATTTAATGACTCAATGCATTGTTGAAAGAAATAGAGAAATCAACCAACAATTTGTGGAGTGTAACACCTGAGTGTAGTCTGGGAAAGAAACAGTCCAAGAGAGCCCTGTATAAACCACTGTTATCTCAGGATAGCTGTGCACTTGCCTATGGCTTCCTCCTCCAAGGCACAATATCAGAGGCTTCACATTGAGGGGATGAAAGAGACTGCACTAAAATAATTTTACTAGTCAATTAAACAAATAGACAAGCAAACACAATCAAAAGACTTGGGGGATGGGAAGAAGGAAAAGGCATGACAACACCGGCTCATCAAATAGATATCAATAAAAAGATATAAAAAAGAAATGAATATACATCGTGGAGCTAAAAAATACAATGAAAATGAAAAATTCACTAGAGGGGCTCAATAGATTTGAAATGACAGGAGAACTAGCGAATTTGTAGGTAGGTAGATATCATACAATCTGAAAAACAAAGAAAAAAGGATGAAGGAAAATGAACAGTCAGTCTCAGACAATCTTTAACAAAAGTGACCCAATTATGCATAATGGGAGCACAAGAAGAAAGGAGCAGAAAAATTATCTGAAAAAATAATTGCTAAAAACTTCACAAATCTTCCCAGCTGGCATGGCTCAGTGGTTGAACGCAGACCTATGAACCAGGAGGTCACAGTTTGATTCCCAGTCAGGAAGATCAACAAGAAAATGGCAACTGATCAATGATTCTCTCTCATCATTTATGTTTCCATCTCTCTCCCCCCCTCTTCCTCCCTCTCTGAAATCAATAAAAATATATTAAAAAAAAAAAAACACTTCACAAATCTGATGAAAAACTTTAATCTACACATCCAAGAAGCTCAACAAATTTCCAAATAATAAGATCCACAAAGACACATCATAATAAAAATGCTGAAAGCCACAAAGACAAGAGTAATATCCTGAAAGTGACAAGAGAAAAATGAATCATTTTTTAAAAAGGAATCCCAGTATGGTTAAAAGCTGACTTTTCATCAGAAATGAGGCCAGAAAGTAGTGGGATAACATACTAGTATTTAAAACGCTCAAGAAAAAACTGTCAACCAAGAATCCTATGCCCAGCCAAGCTGTTTTTCAAAAATTAAGGTGAAACAGACATTCCATAATAAAGAACTGAGAATTTGCTGCCAGCAGACCACACAAGAAATACCAAAGGAAATCCTAGCCGGTTTGGCTCAGAGGATAGAGCATCAGCCTGCAGACTGAAGGGTCCTGGGTTCGATTCTGATCAAGGGGACATGCCCAGGTTGAGGGCTCGATCCCCAGTAGGGGGCATGCAGGAGGCGGCCAATCAAATGATTATTTATCATTGATGTTTCTCTCTCTCTCTCTCTCTCCTTTCCTCTCTAAAATCAATTTAAAAAGAAAAAATACCAAAGGAAGTTTTTCAAAGTAAAAGCAAATGATCCCAGAAAGTAAAGTGAATCTACATGAAAGAACAATAAAGGTAATTATATAATTATAAAAGACACTATAAATGCAGATTTCTTTCCCTCTCTTCCAAACCAATTTAAAAAGCAGTTACATAAAACTATGTATTTGTATTATATGGCCTATGACATACAGAAATGTAATATATTTGTCAATAATAGGACAAAGAGAGGGGGGTTAGTAAAGCTGTATTGGGCTAATCTATATATATTAAAGTCAAGCGACTGGAATGACTGGTTGCTATGACATGCACTGCAGCAGCCAACCAGCCCTATCGGGGCTTGATCAGACCCTCCCAACCTCCCGCAGCCCCTCCTCCCAGCCAGCCCGCCGATTGCCCCCCCGACCCTGATTGGGGTCGGGGCCAGCCAGCCAACCTCCCGCATCCCCTCCCCACCACTGGCCCATTGGGGCAGGCAGCTGGACCCCACCTGTGCACGGATTCGTGCACTAGGCCTCTAGCAAGGAAATAACTACAAATGGTAAACAAATCCAAAGGAATAATCCAAATGGAGAGTTCCAGAAAAAGAAATAAGAAAGCTAATATAACTAAAGCTAGAAATATGGAACTGTTCTCCTATCTTCTGTCAGCTTCCTTAAAAAACAAAATATTAAAGTAATAATTATACTGTATTATATCATTGGGTTTATAACATACTGATATAATACTATAATAACAATAATAACACAAAAACTTTCTATGTGGAGAGCTACATAGGAGTAACTTAATATCAATAAAATTAAGTTACTATATATGAAGGAGATTTTGAAGAATTTGTGAAAAGCCTAGAGAAATCACTATGAAAATAACGCCCAAAAATGTAGTACAGAAAAAATCATTAAAGAAATTAAAGTTTACACTAAAAACTTTTAATACAACAGAAAGCAATGGTAGAACTAGAATGGGAGTAGAACAAATATAAGTACAATAATATAAATAATAACATTAAACGTAAATGGCTTAATGATCCATTCACAAGGTTGAGATTGTCCAACTGGAAAATAAAATAAGATCAAACTATATGCTGTCCATAGGAGACACACTGTAGATCCAAAAGACTCAAAGATATGAGTAAATGGAAAGTAAAAGAATGGGAAAAGATATACAAACATCAACCATAGAAAACTGAACTGGGTATACTACTATTAGACAAAACATATAAAACAAAAACTGTTACTAAGATTGAAAGGGACATTTTATAATGATAAAAGGGGTCAATGTATAAGGAGGACATAACAATTATAGATGCACCTAACAGAGCAACAAAATACATAAAATACAAATTGACAGAAATGAAGGGAGAAACAGACAATTCAACAATATAGTTGGAGATGTCAATATCCCAGTTTTATTAATATATACAACTTGGCAGAAGATCAACAAGGAAATAAATGGCATTAACAACACTATAAATGCTAATAGACGTAACAGATATCTACAGAACACCCCACCGAACAACAGAAAAATATATTTTTTTTCCCCCTCAAGTGCACAAGAAACATTCTCTAGGATATTCTGGGCCATAAAACAAGCTGCAGTAAATTAAAAAGGACTGGAAAAAAAAAAGAACACACAAAACTGGGCCATAAAACAAGCCTCAGTAAATTATAAAGGACTGAAAAAAAACCCAATGTATGTTTTCTGATCACACAGAATAACATTAGAAATCACTAACAGAAATGAATTTGGGAAATTCACAAATATATGGAAATTAAATGACACTCTTAAATAACCAAAGGAATCTAAAAAGAAATCAGAAGAGAAATCAGAAAATAACTTGCGATGAATGAAAAATGAGGATGCAGTGAAAGCAGCACTCAGAGAAGACCTAACTTTCCATCTTAAGAAATTAGTAAAACTAACAGCAAATTAAACCTAAAACGTAAGCAGAAGGAAGAAAATAATAAATATTTGAGTGGAAATTAATATAGTCGAGAAGAGAAAAATGAGGGGGAGGAAAATCAATGAAACCAAAAGTGTTCTTTATAAAGAAAATAAAATTAACAAAAATTTATATACAGCAAGACTGACTACAAAAAAAGTCTCAAATTACTAGAATCCGAAATGAAAAAAGGGGACTACTGACTTTACAGAAATAAAAAGGGTTATAAAGGAATACTATAAATAAATGTATGCTAATAAATTAGGTAAGTTAGATTAAATGGACACATTTCTAGAAAGACAAAAACTATTGAAACTGAGTAAAAAAAAAAAATCTAAATAGACCAATAACAGGTAAAGAAATTGAATTAGTAATAGAAAAGCTACCTACAAAGAAAAGCCTAGGTCCAGATGGCTTCAGAGGCAAATTCTATCAAACTCTTGAAGAAGTAATACCAATTCTTGTTTAAAAATTAATCCAATTCTTTACCAACTCTTCCAAAAAAACATAAGAGGAAAAACTTTCCAACTCATTCTTTGAGGCCAGTATTACCTTGATACCAAAATCAAAGACATCATCAAAAAACACAGGCCAATATCTCTTATAAATACAGATGCAAAAATTCTTAACATATAAAAAAAATCATAAACTATGACCAAGCAGAACTTATCCCAGTATGCAAGGGTGGTTTAATACCCCAAATCAATTGTAATATACTTACTAGGCCTGGTCCTTTTAGCTCTCTCCCTACTGCACAGTCCCTTCCAACCCCACCCGATCTCTAACAGCATCCTCCAACCTGACATGTTACCCATTCAACCAAAAAAGACAACCCTACCTACTCTGATTTCTGTGCTAGGCACTGAGCATTCGCTGCAAAAATTAAGACAGAATTTGTTCAATTCCTTACCAAATATGTTCCTTTACCTGTACCATATACTGCCCTCCCATCATGGTAGCACCACTGTCCACCAAGTACTTAAGCCAGAAATCTGAGATATTCCAGACTCCTTGTCACTCACTCATGCTGCCCTCCTGTTTGCTTCCTTACACAGCACTTTTATCCTGCCCTTCTCTTCATTCCCAAGGTGGAGGCACATCTCTGTGCAGCAGCCCGTCATTGGCCACAGCCTTCCTCCCACATCAGGTGCCCGAAGTCTCTAGTTCAACACCAACTCTAATCCTGTTAGTCCTTTAATGACAAACTTTGCTGCCTACAGGAGCAAGCCCAGACCCTTCAGCCCAACCCTCATGAACCTCTAAAGTCCAACCCCCTCCTCCAGCAACATGTATACTGTACACTTCTGCTTGGTTTCTGAACCTAATTTGGTCATTGGCTCCAATATACATGGAGATCCCCATATTCCATAGCCTACTTGCTCCTTAAGGTCCAACTCTGATGTCACCTTCTCCAGCAGAGTCTCCATTTCCCACTCCTCTCCGTGACGACACTGGGCCAGAAATGTCTAACTTCCCCTGCACCCTCTTGCAGTCCCTAACTAGAAGGCAGGTTGTAACCCCAGGACCTCCCCACAGGATGGCCACTCACCCTGCGATTCCGGTTGTGATCTATGGTCTTAAGATGCTTCTGGATGATCCCAAACTGCATGGGAATAAAGAGGTCACAGGCTGCACAGTGGGCTGCCTCAACCTTCTTCACAAAATGCTCCATGGAAATTTCTATAGGGGAAAAAGGAGGGAGTTGCCACTGGTACCAAGAGCCTAAGACAAACCCAGGAGTTTGGGAAAAACACCAGACTAGCTCCTCACTTCACCCTGTAAGTTCCACGTGAGCCTGAGGCTGTTCTCACAAACAGTCCCTGGGGAAAGAGGGGAATCATGACCAGAGGAGGGCAGACTGAGGCCATGCCGGTGGGAGTGAGATGGAACTGCCTCACCTTGTGTCAGATCCTGGTCTCTATAGATCTGCTGGATCAGACCATCAAGGTCCTCCACAGTTTTTCGGAGCTCCTCTGTCTTCTTAGTCTTGTTGGTGACGTACTCCTGCCAGAGACACCGAGGAGAGACCAAGGTTCATGTGGGCTGTTCTATGTCTGGAGGGGACTGAGAAGCGTGGAGCAGCCGTGCTGCTTCAAGGCTCACCTGCAGAAAGTCAGCCGTCTGCTTGGGGAGCTTGGTGCCTATGTACTTAAAGTGCTCCTTGTGGAACTTGCTGTCAAGGTGGCTGGCCATTTCATCCTCATAGAAGGTTCGGTACTTGCAGAGCGAACACACAAACTGGATCCTGCCACAGGAGGGAAATGAGGGGTTGAGGCCTTGAGGGTCCCATGGAGCAGTGCTGCTGCCTCACCCAACCCAGCTCCGAAGCCCTGAAACAGGCTTTTCTCACGGGCCTCTGAAGTGCAGTCCCAGCAGGGGGACAGGCTAAGACCAGTGGGGCTGGGAGTAGGAAGGGACAGAAAGTCTGCAGGCTGTAGTTACTGCAATGTAGGGGGCAGGGGAGGAGCTCTTCCTTCCCACAGGCAGGAGGCTGAAGCCTGCTGAAGCCTGAGGCAGCAGCTGCTACAACAGGCAAGGATCGCTGGAAGGTAGCCGGAAGGCCTCTCTACCAAGGCTGGGCAGGAGCTTGTGTACTTGGCCCAGCTGGGGACCAGAAGGAAGGATGCCCTGGCGTGAGCCAGGTGGCCCTGAGGTGCAGAGTGGAGTGCGCAGTCCCGAGGCAGGGCCAGAAAAGGTGCTGCATCTTCCTCCTGGGGTCTGGGGACTGAAAGGCCCAGCCCATCCTCTGCTCAGAGTGCTTGGGGGTGGTGTCGGGAGGGATGGGAGGCAGGCAGGCCTGGGCGCCTGCTGCCTCATCTTCCTCTTCCAAGAAGAGACCAGTCTGAGCTGGAAGGAGGACTCCTGCCCGGCCTGCCAGAGGGCAACCTGGAGTCACCTGAGCGAGGTGCTCTGTCTGGGCCTGGTGTTCACAGCAGAAGCCCAGGGTCTGGGGCCTGGGCTGGAGCAGGCCGCCGTGGCAAGGGGCGGAGGAGGCCAGCCGCCACCGAGGCCTCGGGGCAGGTCCCTACCTCTGCCGGATGTCCTTATCTGGGCCACGGGGTCAGCTTTTTCTGGAGAGCCCAGGGGCCAGGTGCCGGCGAGGCTGAGGAAGGTCCAGCAAGAGCAAGAGTCTGAGGCGGAGGAGGAGGAGGCAAGCGCCAATACGGGAGCCCTGAGGGCAGACAGACCCGACCAAGGGGCGTGAAGGGCTCAGCCGCAGATAGGCCTGGCCTGACAGGGCCAGTGGACAGGGCAGAGGGCAGGCCCGAGGCTGCCACAGCCCACAGGTGCTGCCATCTCTCCTGGGAACGGTGGTGGCCTCTTGGCAGCTAGCTGTGGTGACACAGGCACCTTGGACCTTGAGTCTCTGATGAGCAGGCCCCCTCCCGCAGGGGCACCATGCCCCCAGTGCACCTCCGGACTCCCGCTCCGGACTGGAGCTTCTGGGCAACGGTGCTGAGCAATGTCAGGTTTCAGGCCAAAGACGACAGTGGTCACCAGGCGGGCACAGAGGGACAGGGGATGAGCCAGGCCTTGGGAGCTGGGCCGGGTGGGAAGCAGGGTCCATGCATGGCCGAACAGGTGGAGGCTCCCAAGGGAGGCCAGAGGGCAGTGAGGCGGCAGAGCTATGGCCCTGCTGGCCTGGTACAGCCCCATTGTGAGGCAGAGGCAAAGGGCTGCAGGGAAGGTGGTTACCTTTCCACCATGCGGTCTCGCTGCCGCTTCTTCTGTTTGTCCTGGCTCTTCTTGCCTGCCTGTAACTTGTGCTTTGTCTGGCCACTTTCATCCTGGGCATTCAGGGACCCTATGGGAACAAAGGGACATAGCTACCAGCTTGGCTCCAACAGGTGAGGGCAGGCCCTGTGGCCTCTAGCTGCATCACCTGCCATTTACTCCAACGGGTCCATTCTGAGAGCAGCTGCCTGAGCAAGGCCTCTGGCCTCGAGTAGGTGGGTACCCTGGGCTGGACAGGGAGCAGTTTTGGCCTAGGTTTTGGCCTTAAAAGGAAAGGACACGTGCTGACCCCACCACTCTCCAGGACACCCACGCTCCAAAGAGTGGGCCACAGGGAGGCTGGAAGGCAAAGAGAGGCTGTTTTGGTGGGGAGGGCCTGGGTAGTGGGATGCAGGGAGGCTGCGGCTGGGGCTGAAGTGTAGCCCCCAGGGGCAAAGACCCCAAAGCTCACATGGCCCTGCCCACCCCCACACCGGGCACTGCGGCAATAGTGGGCTGAGGCTGGATTTACTGTTAGGTACCTGCTGGCGCTCATCACTCGGGTGGGGGGACACGGACTCCCAACACAGGGGCTGGAGAGGCGCTAAGGGAGAGGACACGCAAACCAGAGCCGTAAAAATTGCACCAAGGGTCCTAGCTCAGACACTGGCCACTGAGGACTTGAACTTCATGTTACTGAGGGACCAGGGCAGGGGATGTGCCTGGGGTCCACCCATACTTTTTCTTGTTCCCCCCACCTGAAGTCATAATCAATGTGCTAGGCAGGGCCCATTGCCACCCACAGCCTTTGTCTGGGAAGAACAGGGACAGAGGACAAGGAGCCCCCTGCCAACCCCACAAGGGAAAGCCCAAGCTGGCCACGTTTCTGTCATAATCCTGCCCTCAGCTGGATGCCTCCCACCATGAGCGCCTGGGAGAGCCATTCCAACACCCAGGCCACTCAGAACACTCACCCTTGTCTGCATCCTCTTTGCCGTCTTCCTTCCCCTCCTCTTTTCCCTCTTCATCTTCTCCTTCCTAAGACACGATGTCAAAAATCCAATGTCAAGCATACGTAGTTGTTTATAATGGCTCTAAATGGCAAGGCCCTGCTACATGCCAGGCACTGGGTCAGGTGCCTCACATTCTCCCCACATCCCTTGCATGGAGGGCTCATTCCGTCCCTGGCTGGAAGGCCTCCCCGCAGCCTCGCTCCCTCCACCAGAGCTCCCTGTCTCCCTGTGGTGATCATGCTTGCGTGCAGAGCTGCCTCAGGAAGGCCTGTGAAAGCCCTCTTCTGTGGCTCAGGTGCTCGGGCAACCCACTCTTCACTGGCACCCCTGCAGACAGCACACAGGGCCAGAGCCACTCACCGCTCTGCAGCCTTTTTCCACAGCATCTGCACCTTCAGTGCCATCTGCAGCTTCTCCCTCGGTACCATCATCTGGAAGAGGAGACATGCTCAGCCCAGGAGCCCCATGGAGCAGGGGGCAGGAGGCAGGGGCAGCAGCCAGTGCCCTGGCTCACCATTGTCCGAGTCACTGTTGTCTGAGCAGTCGGTTCGGGAGGCTTTGCTGTCTGGCTCATCAGGACTGCCGCCCTGCTTTCTCTTCTTCTTCTTGGTCTAGGCCAGAAAGGGAGCCAGGTCAAGGTAGATGGCTCCGGGCCCTTTCCTCCACCCACTCAAGAGCCAAGAGGGAAGGCCTCCTCTACTCACCCGGAAGTCAGCTGTGGTCCAGGTCTTCCAGGTCCGCCTCATCTGCTTCATGCCATTGCCAAACCCGAAGCCAAAGCGGGAGCCGCCTGGGAAGGCACCCCCACCACGCATGCCCTGGAACATGCCATACTCCGGGATGATGTTCTGGGAGAAGAGGGAGGGCAGCCGGGAGGCACCAGGCATGCACTGGCCCCGGGCCCCCATGGGGTCTTCCCACATGCGCCCATAGCCTGAGGCCATTGGCCGGCTACTCCGGGAGTCCCGGGCCCAGCCCTGAGCCCGTGGGCCAAAGGTGTCGCCGCCACGCATGCGAAACTGGTCTCTGTAGGCATCGTACTGGCCTTCGTAGGCCATTTCCATCTCAGGGTCAAGTTCGCCATAATCGTAGCCCGACCGGTAAAGGTCACGCTCACTCAGGACGGCCCTCGAGTCACAGGCCTCGTAGGAATCATATCTGCAGAGGCAGGTGGCAAGCATCAGGGAGGGCCTCAGGTCCTGTTGCCTTTGCCTTCCCCCAAACCTCCCTCCAGCACCTACCCACCCTGCTGGAGGGGCTCAATGTTCAGAAATGCCAGGTAAAAGGCCTCTCAGGAGCAGAGTTCTAGAAACAGGAAGGGTCCCTCAGCTGGTATTCCCAAGCCTGCATGTGGACACTCATCAGCCTGGGGACCCTAAGGACTGATGACAGGAGGAGGGTCTGAGGGGCAGAGACACCTGATAGCCCTTAACCCTTTGGAAGCACATGTACATGTGGTGGTAGCCACAACACCCAAGGTTGCTCCTTGGGAGGAACAGAGCCGAGCATCCCAACATCCTCCAGCACATTAACTGTCTGTCCAATGGGCTGATAATGCCAATAAGAAACCTGTGCTGATCTCATCCCTCATGACTGGGGGAACCCCCAAAACCCTCCAAAGCTCCTTACCACCCAAAGGAAAAGGGGTACAAAATGGAGAGTGTTTCCCAGGAAAAACAATGAGCTTGCCTAAGGACTAGAAAAAAATGCTCTATTACATCAACCTGGAGCCCGGGACAGGGGTGGGGATGAGGTTGGTTAGGGCACTGACCCTACACAGCAATCGGCCAAACCTTCCACAGGAGTTGACAAGGCACTGCAGAGAGCCATTCTAACTTCGGCTGCAACCAAACCCCACAGGCCCAGACCCACCCTGGTCTCACAGGCACAGCAAGTGTTCAGTGCTACACAACCTCAGCTCCAGGTACCATGGCTGTTGAGGGCAGGGGGTGTGCCTGGGGTTCCTCCCACACTTTTCACTTGCTACAAAGCCCATGAAAGCAAGTCCCTCTGCCTCCCAGTGGCTCTGGAGTTCTCACTTGACCCCACCAGTGCCCAGCCAGGTCCCTACTTACTTTCTGCTCTCCCCCATCTGTCAGCTGGAGTCATTAGGCTCCTCCACTCCACCTTATACTAAAAATATGTGTGTCCTCCTCACTGAAGCCTCTTGATAGGGACCAAGAACTCCTGGACTAGCACCAGTTCAGACAGTAACAAATACCCATAGCATGATGCTCTGGAGTAGGGCAAGTCTGAGTGCCAGGCCCAGTTCCACCACCTATTCCTGGGCATCTTCGGGCAAGGGTGTGACCTGCCTGTGCCTAATGTTCCCCACCTGCATAATGAGGACAGGGACAGTTCTTTGTAGGCCGCTTCCGAGGCTCAACAGGTGCGCATCTGCCAGGTACTGAAAAGTGGCCAGGAAGTGTCCATATCTGCCCTGTTCTTTATATGGGGATGGCCCAGTCTACCGTGGTGAACCCCAAAGGCTCATCTAACTCTTCATACTCAATCCCATCTGTCCTGCCCTGACAGCGGGTAGGATGCAGTCTCATGCGAACTCCAAACGGTTGTCTCTAAAAGGAAGGGCCACTTAACACTGCTCCTAAGAGCCATTTGGTGGGTACAGTAAAATCAGCTGGGTCCAAAGTTGTTCTTTCCCCTACAAGCTGGGGGAGAGATTGGCCTCCAGCCAGTAGGGGCGGGGAGAGGTAGGGGAGCAAAGCCAGATATGGTCAGTGCACTGGACCCCAGCAGAAAGCCCCAGGAACAGAGTAAGGAGGGAGGAAGCAGACATGGAGGCAGTTGAGAGGGAGAAGCCAGCAGGCAGCAGACAGAAGCGTGCCTGCAGAGCCTCAGCCCCTAAGCAGGCACCTACTCACCTTTCTCCACCTGAGCCGTACACGCCTCCTTGTATCATGTCTGTCTCCAAGTGCGGCACCATATCTAAGCGCTGGTTAATTCTGGACAAAACGGAATCAGCACTGGTGCTACCCACAGCACTAGGGTTAGCGTTTGTGTCAGAGCTAGGCATTTCCCAAGAGTTTGAAGTGGCCATACCGTACCCATAGTTGGTGGTGTTATCCTGGCCATAGCCATAGCCATAACCATAGTTATCGTAGCCTGCAACAAAGGAGATAGAGAGAGATGGCTGGGGGCGTGGGGAGAGGCGGGCTAGGGAGGAGAGAGGCAGAGACGGAAACAAGCACAGAAACAAGGACATTTTCTGTTGCAGAGACAATCTGGGGACACTAGCCACCCAAGGAGTCCTTCTGTGAAGGAGCAGCCAGCCCAGAGCCCCCAAAGGCACCCATCCCACCCAGCAGAAACATACAAACAGTTCAATGCCAAGGGAGAGGACAGCAATCATGGAAATGATACTTGCCTCTGTTTGTCCCAGAGTTCCAAGTTCCATATCCTACAAAAAGCAAAAGGATAATTACGTTTTACAATATAATGAGAGTTTAATTCAGGAACAAACGAAGACAATACTTCCAGTATCTGACTGGACGCAAGAGACTGAACCTGCCCTTAACTGAGGAGCCTGGAGCCTGACAGAACCACAGAGATGATCCAGGCCACTCGCTGCCCTGGTACTACACCTTCTGGGGATCTGACCATCTGCTATCCAAGGAGTCTCCCTTCAAAACACTCTCAGCTAAGGAATTTGACTCCTGTACTCCCCTAAGGAGCCCAAATGAGAAGGTTACACAACTCCTGGCTAAGCACCAATTAGAGGAAAAGGAGAGTGATTCTGGTGCCTCACACAGACTCTGCTGTATAAGAAGCTCAGCACCAAGTCCACATCCGCACTGAAGTCATGTCACTCAAATTGCACAACAGAGCCATCTGGATGGAGCAGAGAAACTTACCACCCTAATCCTTCAAATGTCTGCCTGAACAGGAAGGGCCACCGAGTCCTTAAATTGTGTGAGTGTGTTGTGCTGGAACACATCAGCCGAGGGAAGGACAAGACACAACTTCAATATGGATTATTAACTCAATATGCTCTGGAGTTTATCATAGTACGTGAGAAAAATTCATTCCTTCTGGAACACAAAGCCCTTAGAACTGACAAAGTATGAAGCAGACATGCTTCCTACCCAGGGGAATCCATGAGAACAGACAACCCAACTTCCCAATGACTCTGGTGAATGCCCAGAGTCATCTCCTACTTCTGGTTCTCTCTGCCCTGAGGACAAGTCAAGCTCATTTCAGGGCAGGACCAAAGTTCAGTGAGATGGCAGCATGATGAACGGCAGAATCCAGCCATAGCAGAGCAAGAACACACACACTGAAAAGATGAACCAGGGAAAATGAGGGACAGGTCGAGGTCCTCCTCAATACAGTGCACAAACAGAATGTGGAGGCATCAAAAACCAGCAAGGGACTTTAGATGACCACTAAGTTTAATGAATGTGAGCATAAAAAAGCTTACAGGATAAACCAAGATGGCGGCATAGGTAAACACCGGAAATTGCTGCCTCGCACAACCACTTCAAAAATACAACTAGCCCTAACTGGTTTGGCTCAGTGGATAAAGCGTCGGCCTGCGGACTGAAAGGTCCCAGTTTCGATTCCGGTCAAGGGCATGTACCTTGGTTGCAGGCACATCCCCAGTATGGGGTGTGCAGGAGGCAGCTGATCAATGTTTCTCTTTCATCAATGTTTCTAACTCTCTATTCCTCTCCCTTCCTCTCTGTAAAAAATCAATAAAATATGTTTTTTAAAAAAAAAACAACAACTAAAAGACAAAACGGACATCATCCAGAACCACAGGAAGGCTGGCTGAGTGGAAACTCTACAACTAGAAGGAAAGAGAAAAGCACACTGAGACTCAGAGGAGGTGCGGAAGTAAAGTGCAGAGGTACGGAGGCGCACGTGGAAAGGGCTGGCAACTGAGGACACAGTTTTTCCAATCGGGAGGGAGTCTCAAGCTCCCGACTGCTCTGAACTCCAGTTCCAGGCGAGTCTCTGGGGACCCAGACTCATACGGGGAGAAACTGGACTGTCTGGCAGCGGGTGGAACTCGAGGGCGGCTTTCTCTCAGAGGTGCTTGCAGCGATTACTGGGACACACGGGGCCTCTTAGGGTAGGACTGAGGAGCAGCCATAGCTGCTTGCCCCACCCTGTTGATCCCCTGAGACCCCACCCCACCCAAGCTGTGCACAGAGGCTTTTGCATATGAA